CCGCGGCGATTATTATTGAGCGAAGAAAAAGCGCCGATGACAATCCCGGCTCTCGTTCCGTTCGGGTTCACTTCTTCCCGCTAGATGGCACCTTACTAGATCGATAAGCTAATAATTAATTCACGCCGCCCGAGACCCAGACGTAATTTACATTTCCAACGCGCGACGTGGACTTCCTGCCATGCGAGGTTTCAGTGTACGAATAATACAGTGTTGAAATAATTTCCTACAAGCGATGGACGAATACGCAGCGTTTTAGATTAATATTAGAAAATGAATAAGTGAGTACATTATGTCTTTAAATTGTCGTATTACATTTCGAAAAAATGATATAACATAAACATTTAATTGTTTTCTCAATTGTATGAAGAAAACACGAACACGTCTAAAAAGTAATTCTATCGTACTAAAATAGTGCGACATGAAAATGCTTTTAACTCAACACGCCGCTAGTTGTAGCAACTACTAAACTAATGATAAATTAATGTTATTTTTTAATAAAATATTGATAGACGTATAGAAATTTGATCGTGACGCATAAACTTCATAAATCAATTGCAAATTAATTTAATAGAAAGAAAGACGCATTTTAAAGCACCAGAGCAGCAGCAGTGTGTACTGTCCAGGACATGGGTATCGTATACCTTCAGAGACGGGATGCGGGAAGACGAGCGGCCCCTGGATAGTGTCCTCGATGTCGGAGAACGGATTAACGAAGAACGTGAGCACGTAAAGCGTTATACCCATCGACCACATCTCCAGCTCGGGGCCGGCGTATCTGCACATATTTATCTATGAAACTTTCGTTGTCACAGAACATAGAGAGAGAATAGAAGTAGTAAGTGGGCGGGGCACGCGTCACTGGCATATGCGCTTTTACTCATATGACGCCCTTTCCTCGGTTTTATGTTTGCCAGTCGTTCGTCAATCGTCGAGTGGTGATTTTACAGATTTTTTCTATAAAAAATGCCGTTTTGTGCTATTATCACTTGCAATAAGCAAAGCAAAGTATACAATCTAACTAATGCAAACATTTCCTTTCACTGGTAAGTACAATTTTAGTGCTAAAATATAAAAAACGTAATAATTTGACACAATGTTAAATAAATTATACATTGATTGCTCAAACCAACATCAATGTTTCTGACCCCATTACTAAACAGCAATGTAAATCATTTGTGCACTTTTGCAAAAAATAGTGCTGTGCCTCCATTTGTCTGAAATGTACCGATAGGCTGCTGCTGCTCGGAATCGTATTGTTAATTATATGGATCGTAATCGATAACTAAAACATATTTATTTAGAGCTTTTCTTTCATCATTTCATAACAACGTTATCGATAAATATATGCCATAATTATATAAAACTAAAAAATACTGTTTACAAGGGAAAATTATAGATGAACTGATACTGAACAAATGAAATAATGAACTGTCCATGCACTTTTTTTACGAAGATTCGGTTAATTATTTACACGCAGATAAATATTAAAAATTACTGATGTGCTATAAATATCTAAGTTACGAAGTATATCACCGTTTTATGAACAATACATAAATTAAACGAAACTTCGTGAAAAGCTAAGAGTTGGCCTAATAGGTCTTGTTAGAAACTGGTGAAACTGGATTTCACTTATTTTGCATTACTTATATTTCAGTTTCCCTAATAACTTTACAACGGATTGCCTTGTTTACATAATTAATTTTGCCCTATCTGCCCTTTTAGACCTAAACCTATCAAATGAATTTCAAAACAACATAATATCTATACAAACAAAAAATTATGTTTTCAACTAACGTAATATTGTTAGTGGTGTGAATTTAATTTACAAAATTAATTTTTAGGCGTAAATTTAATTTACCTTATTATGCTGATTCATAATCGGAAACTATTATTATAGAAATCGAGTTAAGAAAGCCACTTTAAAGAACCGCCCACAGAACAGCTTTTATCAGTTTTTTTGTTGCTCCATATTTGCACATAAGTTTATAGACGCATGTCTCAAACGGATGTGACTTTATATGTAGATTGACGTTTGTACGTACTTATCGCTTTAGTGTCTATCTTCAAACTTTTTTTGTCACGGCTTTCAAACTCATACTTGACCAGCAATTCCTTATTGTCCAGTCGTTGCAATTAATTATTACAGATATAAAACTTAGAATAATAAAGTAAAACAAACATGGCTATGATCAATTTATTAGTAAAATGATCATATTAGTTATTATGAAATGAAATGAAAATATCTTTATTCAAGAAGGCTATTACAAGCACTTGGAATGGCAAGTTTATTTTTATTTCTACTTTTTTTTGTGAAGGAATCGTAATGTTTTCTTGCGTACATAATATTTTCATTGATGTATTGAGAGGCAACAATCAAAATATTTATTTCTTTAAATATTTCTCTGAGAGATTCTCTAGACCGTAAATTATATATAGCGTGGACTAAAAATATCTTGAATGCTAGCCGCAGAACCCCATAACAATAGATTATACGTCATTCATTATACTATGAAAATAACTAAAATATACCAATCTTGCCGTTTCAACATTTGTTAAGAGTCTAATTTTCTTAACAGCAAATGCTGCAGAACTCAGTCTACTTGACAAATTATCAATATACCAAAATACCAAGGAACTTTGTCGATTCCACCATCTCAACTTTTTCACTATTTACATTTATAAGTATATTAACATGCCTCACATTAGGTAATGCAAACTTTATGTATTTCGTTTTATTTGAATAAAGCTTTAAATAATTACTATCAAACCACTGTAGAAAATTGTCGAACTAAATTACATTGAACTGTTTCATAACAAAATTTAAAGTTCTTATTTTATCAACTAATATGTCACATCACTAATATGCACAATCGGAATGATACCAGTAAGAAAAAAATACAAATTAGGCTTAATGTAATTAATACAAAAATTCTGTTGTTTTCTTAATTTTTGTTTTTTTTTTACACTTTCCCTCGCTTAATTATATTACTCCACAGACATACGATAGAGTGTATCATTAAGTTTTCTTAGTTTTTGTACTGCGTTTTTCAAAAGATATTTTAATAAATTATGTACTGAAAAGCCTTAATTTTTCAGTATTCACTTGGTTACAGCAAAATCTAATATTAATAGTTCGCACATAAAATGATGACCCCAATTTTTTTAAATGTGCATAATCTTAAAATATTTTTTTCCTTCTGGTATCCCCATATACAGCCACGTGACAGTTCAACATTCATGTTAAAGTAAATTATTTATTATCACGTTGAATTAGAGTTTGTTTTTAATCGTGTGATTTCTTAGCTTAGTATCTTTTTGGGATTTGATTTATGTTATCGCGAACCTATCGCGTGGCGGTTTTTCATGTAGTGAACAAAATGATCATTTCATCTAATCTGTATTTGTGTGCGGAGAGGCGACACTCGGTTCCCATACTAAATTAATATCATTATACTTCTAATCTCTCTCTATGTTCTGTGTTCGTTGTTAATATTAAATGCCTTAAAAAGTAACTATTACACATTTTATTATTAAAAAAAAAATGGCAATAGCAAGTATTGTGCAGAGACACATTTGTGTGTCGTACTGTGTCACTGTATTATTTTTATGCATTTAGTGTGTATAGTTGGTATTATACAGTGATAGAAATATATATACTTTACATTAGTTCTGTATGAAACAACACTCGGCAACAACGAAAACGACACAAAATTTACTTGTTTCCGGCGAGTACTTCAGGGCTGCAGTACTCGGTGGTGCCGTAGAACGTGGAGAACAGCGTCCCGGGACTCATGAAGGTGGCCGAGCCGAAGTCTATCAGCTTCACGTGGAACTTGTTGTCTATGATCACGTTCTCGTCCTTTATGTCGCGGTGCAGGATGTTCAGCGAGTGAAGATACTCGACCGCTTGACCGATCTATACAGAACAAACAGTGACACGTAAATGATGATATATCATTGAGCCTATTCGGTTGTAGCTCGCTACAATAGGGATGATGACTAATTTTTGTTTGTTTGTCCGTCAGGTAGAGTGTTAAAAAATATTTAACATGTATTTTTTTGTTTCGTAATCATAAAATTACGGCGTTACATTGAGTTGAAATTTCGCATGACGTCACGTTAGAGTACGTTTTCTACTCAACTGTGACGTAGTGAGCCCCCACTCCTCAACTTTAAAGCCTGGTATCTATACTATTTCTTGTTAAATTGAAATAAAAAAAATACGTATCTAATATTTTTCTATTATCTGACTGACGGACTAAATAGAATTGCATTTTTTTTACCTAGTCATCATCCCTATTATACAAACAGTAATATCAGAAGAGTATATTTGTTTTCGGGTACGACCTGTCTGAATATGTAGCTGAGCAGCGGCTCGTCGAGTCGCGGCCGCCGCTCGATGAACTCGAACAGGTCCATGCCGGCGCCGTGCTTCTCCATCACCATCTGGAAGTACCGCTCGTTCTCGAACGCGTCCAGCACGCTCACCTGACGCACAAACCGTCCAATGTCCATATCACATTATTGCTGACACAAACGCACATGGCCGGGCGCGCTCTCCGTCTGCCCGAGAGAGTATACTCGAAGAAGCGTCAGTGATGTCCGTGTGATTAGTTTAAAATGACGGTTTTTAAGCTGAGCCAGTTGACCTCCAACGGTCCTAGAAAAACAGCGACGCCCTTGTGCAAAATGACAGCACACACGGACGGTTTGGACGATAGGCATTGAAAGGCCAGTTCGGTAATGAAATTAAGCGAAAACTTTGCGTATATACAATCTATGTATTGTGCAACTTTAAATACTAAAATTAAATGAAATTGAACCCGCGTGGGTCTCGGTTAGTTATAAGATAAGAGTGGGGCGGGCGGCGGGGCGCGGGAGCCGTGCGTTACACGGCTCCCGAGGGTTAATTTTGGGAAAATCGATTCAAATCGATCATGTCATTGAATCTCGATGAAATTTGCATTAAAGGTAAAAATTTTATCGATAGCGATATTTTCAAAAATATCCAAGAGAATATTTTAACACAATCACAAATAATATCAATAAAATATTACTTAAAATATGTCAATGTTGTTTTCAAAGTGAATGGCCGTTTTTCCGTAAAATTAAAATGGAGTTGACAACTCACGCAGTTGGTTATTTTGTTAATTATTTTTATTATTACATCCGAGTTGGAGTTCAGATAAAATGCAATAAACTGTTAAGTGAGGCAACAAGGGAAGGCGACTAACAATGTTGGGATGGTGCAGCGTGAGCAGCAGGCTGAGCTCGAGCGGCACGCGGCGGCCGTCGGGGGCGTCCACCCAGAACTGGGCGCCCACCTTCTCCTTCAGGATGAACTTGGCCACCGCCAGCAGCCGGTCCGAGCGCCGGTACGCCATCTTCACGCAGCCGTACGCGCCCTTGCCTGCAACGACCCGACCGACCTTATACTGCATACGAGTCATGAGCTGTACATATAGAATAGCAGCAGAGCACGCGTGTGCGCCTCACCGATTTGCTTGAGCGTGACGTAGTGCTTGCTGTACTCGCCGGCCACCTGCTCGTCGCCGCACTGGCTCGCCAGCGACATGGAGTGCGGCCGGCTGCTGGCAGACTTGTTGTTGGCCTGCGGGCCGCATATTACACAGATTACTGATGCCCAGGAACCAGTTCAACGAGAACGATCCACTCTGGCCCTAGTACAACTCATAGCTGAAGTCTATACTTTTAATATTTAATTAAAGCCTGCATTTTGTTTAGTAGTGTACTGACCGGTGCCAGGGAGTCGTCCCCGGTGGAGGCCTGGCTGGAGGCGAGCGTGGTGTGACGCATAGTGTAGTGTACTGACCGGTGCCAGGGAGTCGTCCCCGGTGGAGGCCTGGCTGGAGGCGAGCGTGGTGTGACGCATAGTGTAGTGTACTGACCGGTGCCAGGGAGTCGTCCCCGGTGGAGGCCTGGCTGGAGGCGAGCGTGGTGTGACGCATAGTGTAGTGTACTGACCGGTGCCAGGGAGTCGTCCCCGGTGGAGGCCTGGCTGGAGGCGAGCGTGGTGTGACGCATAGTGTAGTGTACTGACCGGTGCCAGGGAGTCGTCCCCGGTGGAGGCCTGGCTGGAGGCGAGCGTGGTGTGGCGCATAGTGTAGTGTAGTGTACTGACCGGTGCCAGGGAGTCGTCCCCGGTGGAGGCCTGGCTGGAGGCGAGGGTGGTGTGGCGCATAGTGTAGTGTAGTGTAGTGTACTGACCGGTGCCAGGGAGTCGTCCCCGGTGGAGGCCTGGCTGGAGGCGAGGGTGGTGTGGCGCATAGTGTAGTGTAGTGTAGTGTACTGACCGGTGCCAGGGAGTCATCCCCGGTGGAGGCCTGGCTGGAGGCGAGGGTGGTGTGGCGCATAGTGTAGTGTAGTGTAGTGTAGTGTACTGACCGGTGCCAGGGAGTCGTCCCCGGTGGAGGCCTGGCTGGAGGCGAGGGTGGTGTGGCGCATAGTGTAGTGTAGTGTAGTGTACTGACCGGTGCCAGGGAGTCGTCCCCGGTGGAGGCCTGGCTGGAGGCGAGGGTGGTGTGGCGCATAGTGTAGTGTAGTGTAGTGTACTGACCGGTGCCAGGGAGTCGTCCCCGGTGGAGGCCTGGCTGGAGGCGAGGGTGGTGTGGCGCATAGTGTAGTGTAGTGTAGTGTACTGACCGGTGCCAGGGAGTCGTCCCCGGTGGAGGCCTGGCTGGAGGCGAGGGTGGTGTGGCGCATAGTGTAGTGTAGTGTAGTGTACTGACCGGTGCCAGGGAGTCATCCCCGGTGGAGGCCTGGCTGGAGGCGAGGGTGGTGTGGCGCATAGTATCCTCCAGTTGCACGCCGAGCCACACGCAGCGCACGCGCGCGCCAGTACTCAGCACCATCGTCGACACCGTGTAGATTACGTCTGTCCCAGGAACGGATATCATCAGTACCGACGGAAATGTAAATAATGAAACTTATGTACGGTAGTTCTGCGGTGTACACTCACTGAGCTCCGTGCCGTCCTCGTGCAGGAGAGTCCCGCGATATGTGCCGTCGTGCTGGGGGCAGTCGCGGCAGTCCCGCGCGCAGTCGGTGTCGCAGTCGCAATCGCAGTCGCAGTCGCGTCTCGGTCGCGGCGTGGACGTGTTCACCTGGGAGCGCAGGAGGCGCTTCGCCACGCACGGAGTATCCGGCTCGTCTATAAGCATCCGACAAGTGTCTTTCTTAATCAAAATAAGAGCAAAAGATGTGCGGCAGCTTCGACCCTAATAGAAAAGCTCAGAGACTGGACGACGGGCCTCACCTCCGTCCTTCTTCCTGGGCGTGGATTCGGGGCGAGCGTCCAGGTCGTGGTCGTGTGCGGGGTCGAGGGCCCGGTTGCCGGGGGCCGCGGGCAGGTCCTCCAGCTCGCAGCCGGGCGGCGGCATCTCGTTGATGGGCGTCAGGAAGTCCGCGCTCGTCTCGTTCGAATCGCACAGATCCAGCGACAGACTGCTCCGGTCGTCCCTCCCCGCCGCCGCCCCGGGAAGGGGACCCCGGGAGGATCTGAACTTGCTGGAGTCGAAGGACAGTCTCGGGGACGGATCGTCTATTCGGACCCTCGGCGCCGCGCCGGTGGGGGTGACCTCCTGCGAGTGCTGCGACGTGTAGTATATGGAGTCCGACCTCTCCGAGGGTTTGGTCCGCGGCGGGTCGGTCCGCTCCGACCTGAGGATGTTCTCGGAGCGGGACTTGGACAGGCTCGGGCAGTAGTTGTCGTCGTCTATGGAGATGCCGGACATGCCCGAGGTGAGGTCGGGCAGGGCGGACAGGTCGTGCCGCCGCTCGGTGGTGCTGATGCTGGAGACCATGTCCTGGGTGGGCGTGGGCGTGTGGGTGACGAGCCCGTCCGACTTGTCCAGGCAGAGGGCGCTCGAGGACTTCTCCCTGGTGGCGGAGAGGAAGGACGGGTTCACGTTCAGCGAGAGGCAGGCGGATTTCTGGCTGCCGTTGAATGCGCCGCACGAGTCGTCGTCCGTGTCCGAACCTGGAATCGAAATTAGTTTCTCTAATTCGTTCCGGCGACACCGATGGGGTCGTTCGGAGTGTGGCAAAATGTAATAAATATATCACTCGGGAAATAATAGACTCGGGAAGAGACAGCTAATTCAACTTATCTATACTAATATAATAAAGTTTAGATTATTTGTTTGTTCACATCGAAGAGGCTCTGAAACCTACGGGTAGTTATATACATAATACGGAGTTATGAAAAATAGTAATGTTACGCCTCGCCGGTTATATGAATAATTTTATGTCGGTCGTCGGGTTTCCTAAATAGTTTTATGACAGTAATGACCTGGCGAGGGCGTGGCGGCGCGGCGGGCGCGGCGGGCCGGCCGGCGGGCGCGCGGCAGGCGGTCGGCGGGCCGGCAGAAGGCGGGCAGCAGGCGCAGCAGCGGCTGCCCCACCACGTGCGCGTGCGGCTTGCCGAACGTCAGCATGGCGAAGTGGTGGTTGCACGCGGTCACCACGCCCGCCTCGTCCACCACCAGCAGCCCGCTCACGTTGTACGTCACCTGACACGGGGCACGCCACTCTACACTAGGATATCGTCACGCTATCGTAGACCACTATTTTAATGTCATCGTTTCGATCTTAACGTGTTCTCGTCCAGCTTTAGTATGTCACTCGATATATACGGACGGATGCCTGATGATGATGGATACTCTTATCAGAAGATAAATAAAAAAAAACAAAATCAAGATGCCGGCCTATGTGTTTGATTATGATCGATTAAAATTAATAATTTTATTTATAAAACGTCCGCGTATCAGTATTTCTGTGAAAACAGGCGAATATTATCAATGAAAATAAAAGACTCACCCTTATGTTGACCTCCAGTAACAATTTATCTTTATATTTGGCCGACGTCAACGTCGAATCCTCGGAACAGTCCGCTTTCGATATCCACAAACAGAGCGGAAAAGACGCGCCGTCCAAAGTTCTACCTGCAATACATAAATTATGAAACTTCGAAGACGTCGGAAGAGATAAAAACGAGTTCAAATATTAATCAAAACATGTGCACGACAGGGGCGAAGCGGTGATCGATCGAGACGAATCCAAAGTTACACCAGGGAGGCATACACCGAACAGAGACAATTTCGTACCCCGCCCCCCGGGCCACCTGTTCGGCGTACTCCCATGACCCCTTGGGGCGGTACCTGTGGCCTTCTGCTTGTAGACGGCGTGCGCCTGCGCGGCGCGGGCGGCGGCGCGCAGGCGCACGGAGGGCACGAGGCGCGGCAGCGGCACGCCCCGCAGCTGCTCCGCCGACTCCGCCTGGAACAGCACCGCCGCGTGCCCGCCCGCCCCGCCCTCCCCGCCCTCCCCGCCGCACCACACCACCGCGCCCGACTCCGCCTCCACTATCATCTGCGGTCCGATAGATCATCATCACCGACGTCGTTCTGTACTCGATTATTCGATATATCCGACAGATTCTATCGTAGAAGACGAGCCATCCGGCTTCCGTCGCCTTCCCTTTCGCGTTCGTCGTATCGACTTTCAGCCCGCCGGTATCTTTCCGACCTGTCGTCGGAGATGCGATTTGCGATGCGATAAAGAATATATATAGCGGCGATTTAGAGACGTTTAAGATAATCGCTCGTTCTTCTTGTCAGCTAAAAGACGTCCTGAACAAGTGGTAGGGGTAAAATTTTTTTTTGGACGATTCAAAAGTACTTGAAATAAGCTTACTCGAATAAAGATATTTTCATTCCATTTCAATTTATGACTCATAATATCTGTGTATTTAAACATAACTTTTAATTTTCGTATCATTTTATAATTTATTCTTCTTAACTGAAAATATCCCATTAATATCATAATATTTCTACGAACCTTAACTTTTCTGCAATTGACCGGTTCTGCTACAACCAGACAGGGCCCCTCGCTGTCTAATTGTCTTATCCACAGTGAGACTTGCACTGAACTGCCTTCTTTGGTTAGAAGTTCCACTACCTAAAATTTTAATTGAGGTTATTTATTATATGTATGACAAATCTCTTAAGTTTATTAAGCATATATTATACCTTGCCACTGAGCAATACTACTGGCCGATCTTCAGAGCTATCTACGTCTTCCGCTTCATTAAAGTTGAAAGCACGGCTACTTCGTTGGTGCAACAGATCAGATAGTCGAAGATCACACAGCTCACTAGAGGAATAGCCTAGCAAGGAACATGCCTTGTTATTCACTATCAGTATCTGAAAATGTAGTAAATTGAAAAGATTTCAAGTATTTATCTGAATACTAATTAAAGTGAACTAAAATAATTATTAAATATTAGAAAATTCTCAAATACATAAATTCTTTATTGTATTAAGTTGAACAAATACAAATTTTTATATTTTAATTATCCATTAGAAACAAATTTTAATTTAATTAAAATCTATTAAAAGCATCAAGGTATACTTATGAAGCATTAATATAATTTTTGGTAGTTTTAAAGTCTTAGTTAGGGTATTGTTGTATTCTATCAATTTGTTATCTTTAAAAAGTAATCAAAAGGATAACTTCCATACTTTTAAGGTGTTTGGTTCAATAGTAAAAACAGCTTTGCTTGGGTTGATGGTCTGTTGCAAGCGCTCTGTCTGTGACTGAGCTGGTGACCCTGCCCTGTCACATCCTGCTATGGAAGTGTTGAAACGGAGACCATTCGGCCCATCAACTGTTGAATAATAAATTGTCACATGAAGTTGCATCATTTCATTTAGGTCATATGTATAAATATACAAATGAATACATCTAAACAAATGTGGTAAACTGAAATCTGACAAAATCTGGCAGTATGAGAAACATATTGCTGCAACATGACACTATTTTCTTGTTATTTCTTTCAATTGTTTTATAAGTAGGTATTATTTTTGAATTTTATCATTAATAACTAATAAACACAATGGATTAACAAACCTCTTACAAAGTCAGTAGGAGGTTTGACCTTTGTTGGTGTTTCCAGTTCCATTTTTATAGGTCGAACCCTGCGATTCAAGCGTGGGAAGCTCTGGTTGCCTTCGAATGAGCAGTTACCAAGTCCATGACGGAAGTGGGGCTCAGCTTTAACTGTCCTAAAATCATTAAATATTAAGTAGGATTACACAAAGTGTTTAATATAAAATAATTATTGTAATTTTGAATGACTTTTCTAAGGAAACCTTGGATAATGAGTAATCCATTTTAGGAATTGCTGCTCTAGTGTTACATATCAAAATTAAAATTTATACACAGAATTGTAATTATCAAACATACATACCTGCATTTATAGTCATTTGGTATTGCTGTATATTTTTCAGGTGTATACAAACCAGAGCCTTCATTCCTTAGATCAAAGGCAAGTTTTTGTTTCTATAATAAAAATAATGTTTTAGAAAATAATTTTAATGTTTTGTAAAAAATTAAATATTTTATAATAGATACTTACATTTTTAGGTGTCAAATTAAGATGTTCAGGTGAGTAAACATCACCAAATTTTCCTAAACGAAGTTTTGCTGGAGTACAGTCCGGGGTTTCGGCTGCATCTCTAATGAAATACCGGTAAAATATACCATGTTATACTTTCATATATACAAGCAACTGATAAAGAAACATTACTCAATCGGAAAGTAGGGACCCATCGGTTGATGATTTATTTACATCGAGCATTTTATGAAGGAAAATCAATACCTGACTTACAGCGCGCAAGTTCAAATTAGACTACCGAAAATAAAGTTTACCTGTTGATATCAATATTTTCTTTATCACGCGTAATATCAGGACTGCAAAGACGAATAAAGTTAATATCCATTACTTGTGTATTTAAATATATACTCCTTTTATATTATCAAAAAGCCGTTGAATTAGGTTTTCAAACAAAAGAATGAAAGTTAAATTGAACATGAACAGCGAACAGCTGTCTCTTGTTGTCAGCCAGCTGTCAATTTTTTTTTAAACCAACAAAACCGTCATAATTTTCATGAACATTTTCTTAATTATCTCAACTTAAAAATGTACTTGCTTCGGCAGAACATATAAAAAAATACTTATTTATCTTTTGTTTACATATCTCAGTACGTTTTTTAATGATTAACTCTCGGGTTAAATAATATATTAAAGTAAAAAAAAAGAGCCTAACGCCCTCTATTGTTTGTTTCTGCTTTCATGTAGTTTCCTTAGTACGCAGCTTATACTTTCTTTGTTGTAGATGTAAGTTTTTAAATCTGGTAAATTTTAATAGATGGCGCAACTAGGTAGGTTTCTCATTTTCTATTTGGGATTTAAACAAATTAAAATGTAATCCATAAAACAGACAAACGATAATGATGTGATCCATAAAATAACTTTACAAAATAAAAAAGAAATGTAAAGATATCTTTTTTTTCTGAGATTTGAAATATGCTATCATGAGTACATAGTTATCGTTATTTTGGTCAAGTCTTTCGACTGGGAGCGTGGCGTCTCCTGTAATCCGGCTACTCGGAGGTCGGGACCGGAGGATGGTTTGAGGTCGGGAGTCCTGGTGCTGAGTGGCACATGTTGACTGGACGTCCGCACTAAGCCTGGTGTTAATATGGACTTTCCGGAGGAGTCTGGAAAGTGCAGGTTAACTAAGGAGGGGCGAACCGGGCCAGGGGGGAAACCCAGCAGCCAAAAGTCCCCGCATCGGGCAGTAGTGGGATAGCGGCCGGGAGTGGGCGCTCAGTAACAGCCTGACCAATACAATCAGACCCGTTCCTTTTGCCGATTTTAGTTTTTGACAATTCATTTTCCTACGATTTCCACAATTATTTTATATTCTAGAGTTAGAAAATGAAAAGATAAAGACTTGTATATCATGACTATTAGAGAGAGATTGTCAGGATGCTGGGTGATAAATAATACACATGTCGCGCGAACATTGTTTATTGAGTAAGTTCGCTTACATGTTTATATCCTTAACACTTGAATCTTAGTTCTAGAGAAGTAATTACCTTCTACAGAAAACCAATTTTGTCAACTCATTCAAATATTTTTTACGTGACGTGTATTTAGTGAAAATATTTGATTATGTTATTGCTTTTACTCAAGTTATTACATACACATACGGGTGTACGCATATACATTGTAGGTATATCGTTTTAGTAGTCAGCAAATAAATAATAGTAGGTAAATAGCGTAGGTAATAGTCAAATAGCTGCCAGCGGCTTCGCCCATATGGTTTTCCCGATTTTGCAATATTTTTCATTGCTGGTTCCCATTACTCATAGCGTTATATAGATTGATATTATAGGTGTACCTGTGACATAATTATATTTTGAATTTGTACAGTAGCATTTAGGTAAATCGATTTTGAGACGGAGAATCTTTAAGATATTCTAAAACAAATTCTATAATAACACTAATAAGTGTCAATTAAAAAATTTACGGTAGTAGATAAGCATAAAGTTAAAGTAAGCCTGATAATAGGGATTTTGAATAACAGTTAGGCATTTGAAGAGAAATTCAAAACTGTCATAAAAAGCTATGTTGGCCAACACTTGTAAACCAACTATTTGAACGAACCAAAAGAATAAAAGTTCTCTTTCAATTTCAACAAAACATCTCTTGAATATATCTATCCAACAAGTATAGGAAATTTAAAATGAACCACCCGGAATAATACGTCTGAAGTTTCTTGATGATACAAAATTCTACTATACTCCATTCATTATAGCATTAGACAGAATGAAAATAAGGTTATTTTTATGGTATACATTGTGACAAAATGTCAACAATCATGTTACTCTTAAAACTAACCGCTAATTTGCTTCATATCCACTTAAATACCAGCTGCTATACTTAACCGTAGTCTTTTAAGCTATATATTAAACAAATTTATGAGTATTTGACTGACTTAAAACATTTAATAATTATTACAATAAAAAGTGTTCATCTTAAAGAACCTAAGAAGCAGGGTTAGATAGTTTCGGCATGATTCTCATGTCACTATAACTCTAGCAAATTTCTTCTAAACAGTTTCCTTGGGATAAACTCGTGTAAGCTACGAGGTCAAAGCCGATGGCGGAAACCTATATTTATAAAAAAAGAATTATTCAATTCGAATCCGTAGTTTCTGAGTTTAGCGCGTTTAACCAAACAAACAAACTCTTCAGCTTTATTATATTAGTATATGTACACTGAAAACACTTTTAAGAGAGAGTGTAAACTAAAAATATCTTCCAAATAAGCGTCTGATGGAAAAGAAGATAAGTTCTAATGGCTGGGGCGCTAAAACACGAAAACTTCGGATCTAAATTTTCTTTAGTTTTTTATTTCATCTTAATGCAAATGATTCACTGTAACTCTTTGGTGTGAAATAACAAACCGTAGGTTTATAAATGTATCAGTACTCTCGAAGGATTACACTATAGAAAATCTAACCATCTAATAAACAAAAAAAAAAACATATCACATAGCCTCAAAAGATAGATAATGTAAATCCAACTCTTTTAAATATCCGCTATTGCCGTATCATCAAATCCATTGTCTTATCTAGCTGCCTCGACTACGGATGAAATTATCGTTGAAAATCCATTTCTAACACTCTCATTTAAGTTTCTTCCCGTGAAAATAACTTTAATAAATACTGCACTCCTTGTTTTCATCAGGAACGACTTCATAAGATATCGTAGAACCATACTTGCAGAACAGACTATTGTTGGCGTCTCCAGAGGGATTATTCACCTACTAAATACATACAACAAGAAATTCTGCAATTTCCCTCAGTATTCCGATACAGTACATAGTTATTTGAAATAAATTTATGTCCGATTAAAAAAAAATTAAGCTATGAGCATTAATATGCACATAGCTTGCTTGGATACTTCAGGAAAAATGAGTTAACTTGAATTTGTTATTTTTGTTTACTTTTAAGTTTTCTGTTTTAACTTTGACTGTGCGTTCAAATTATTACAATAATTAAGTAAAGGTGCAAGAGTAAATTATTAAAAATCTTGTTGGGCGTATTCCCTCCCTCTTGTACATACATGGTTGATAAGAAATGCTTTTTAAACTAATTTCTCACGATCACCAGTTGACATTCACTAAGCCTATCTACTATATCCGTGAATGTCGGCTATTGCCCTACTATCAAATCCATTGTCCGGCAACTCCGTTTAGCTACCTTTAAACAATCATTAATTACACATTACAATTTATAGCACAACATTTGCCACAATTATATTCGGCGTAACAGTGTCTTACGTGGTAGGTGTTAAGGTTCAAAATGTATATGAGCTGTAACAGATGTGTCAGTGGCTGGGCGGAGTGGATACACGCAGATTGAAGGGACCTTGGGATTCGAAAGTACAGACAGCGACCGGAACGCACAACAGTTGCCTTCTAGGAAAAATCTAGATCATTACAAAAATCTTACCGCAAAAATGAGCGTGTTGTGCCTGTAGATATGATATTTATTGGTCATGTAAGTGTTTTTTATTAGTGGTCCATTATAGGTACCTGTTTGGTTACACTCGTAGGTATACTAAGTAACTTTTACAAGCTTTTATTTAACTTACCTTGTTTGTATGTTAGTATATTTGTTAGTGCGCAAATCTAAGAACTCAAATTTGACTCACTTACCAATATCCGATTTACTTGAAATTTTGCATAGACATGTAAGTCACATGACATTGACATATTATGATGTCAGTAAGCTGATATGATGATGAAGTCGGAAGGTGATCACAGTGACGAAACGTGGGTGTCTTTGCCCCTCGCAACACAGGACTTGTATCCTAAAAAGCGGGCTTGTCTTTTAAAAAACAAAAAAGATTTGAATAAAAAAAATGAACTACTGAAGATCCATGAATAAAACTTTCTATGAATTGTCAAAGCATCACGTACTTTCTTAAAGGGAAGTAATAAACAATATTGAACTTAATATAGTAATAGAAGTAATTCTTGCTGATTATAATTCATAAACATTCCAAGCACAAAAGAAAATACGGGGAATACCCGTAAGTCAGTATAGATGCTGTTGCCATTCGCTACAAAATAAGTAATGAAAAATACCCTGCTTCCGTTTTATTTGCGCTAAAAAAGATATTGAAATTTTGCCGCCCCCTGAAAAATGCCGTCCGTAGCGGACCCCCACACTCCCTCCCCACTAAGCTACGCCACTGGGTGCTCATAGGCACTTAAAGATGAAATAACGCAACTGCAACGTGTTTAGGCTAGTTAGATCCGTCTCCATGAGGGCTAATGTATGGGATGCTTGACAGATCAAGGTCTGGTGATGATGGAGCCGAAAGGTGGTCATAGGAACTTAGCAATAGAATAACGCTACCTTATGAGAACAACATATTGAGACAAAATGAAAAAGTAAAAAATAAAAATATAATAAAAAAAGGATTTTAAAAACAAGCTTTTATTTTTGTACACTGAAACGAATAAATTTATTCTAAACATACGTATAAACTATTTATAATCAAAATTTTCATTAGTCGTAATTGACTTGAAAAGCTTGTAGCGTGTAACAAATATTGTGTATTTCCTCGTCTCCGATTTCATGAGCGCCACACGCTTTACAAGTCGAAAAAGTGCAAACACAAATATTGAAAACGACGACTTGCAAATATGGAATTGAGTAACGAGTTATTCAGAAAGTTTAGTAAAATAATTATAAATCGAACAAATTTCTATTTGAGTACCTAAAAATGTTGCAGCTCACATTATATTCATTATGTGATCCAGAATAAAACCTAAAACTAGCGAAAGTAGAACAACAAAAGATCGTTGTATAAACTCAACAGCATATTCAATCAACTAAAATAAGTGCACAAACTTAAAAATCTTTTAGGTATTAATCCATAAACATAATAAAAAAAAAAACCACGCGCATGAAAATGCTGTGCTGCAGTAATGTCGCACTTGAGAGCAAGCGAAGTGAAAAT